AAGTAGCCAATCAGAGCGACGTATCTGGACGCCATGAATCATCTTCTCTGTGGTTTCGTGTAACGTGACACGGAGTGTCTTATTCAGTGCTCCTTTGCACTCGCCTCGAGGTTCGCTTGAAATTAAGTGTCTTTTGGTGCGACAGACACGAAGTATGGGATGTAAGCCAGTACTTCCACGCCACTGATGGTATCATCTTTAGACTGAACACAGAAAGGAAAATAAATCACATCAGTACACTGCATGACATAATATTTTAGCCGTCTGTCTGTGCTAACTGGAAAACACTTCTGGTTTCATCTAATATGTCGAGGCAAGAGAGGATGATCTAAGAGAAGCATTCCCCCATACATGAGTCTCTTCCAATGATATTTTTTTGAAATCTATTTTTAACTTTCAGTCCATAGCTGAGCTATTTTAAGAGCGCTACCTGATTGGTCAGTTTAATAATGCAATCATGAGAGGATTCTCTCTTGTGTAATGTAATGGTACTGTACATCAGACGTTGTCATTGATCAAAAGATTTCTCCGATCATCAAACCACTTGTTCCAGAAGAACTTCATCATGGCGTAATAGAATGTGGCTTCTGCAGCATTGAGTACTAAAGTGATGGCCTGCAGTGCGGATGGAGTTCGACGAAAGTTGTTGACACCTGTTACTTGGAAAGCAGCTTGCGTCGACATTAAAACAAAGAGATACAAATTCTCTAGAATGAATACAATCAGAGTTAGCGTGTAAGCCAAATGTCGAGCGGGAAGTCTGGATTCCCTCCATGGTGCAGGGACATTATTCCACAGGTACACAACGAGAGTCGTAGAAATCTCCCAAGAATGAACCCTACCTCGATAAACTTACTTATCCCCAGTGACTCAGTTGAAATGACAATGACGTTGTAAGTGACGGCGACTAGCAACTGACAGAAAAGCGACCAGAATCGGGCATGCTTCGAGTTATTTCGAAGAGCAGAAAGATATCCCTCATAGTCAGGCACTTTCATGAGAACCAGAACAACAAGCAAGGTGTTGATAACAGAAGCTGACTGCCATGCTATTTCCAATTCATCCGCATGGGAGAACAGCGTAAAGTTCTTGCAGCGATAACTAGCGAGTTTTTCACGGAAGAAGCAATCGGTGGCGTGAATACTGTATAATATCAATCCGATAAATCGCCAAAGAAGAACAGCAAAATATAAAGTTAACGTCACAACCTTGACACAAACTTGGCGGCTGCATAATCGGCACTTTATCTTCTCGGCATCTCGGTCTATCAGAATAAAAGTAGTCTCCGACATTTATAGGGAAAGCAACACTTCTCAAAACATTCGCGACGAAAGGTTGTTCTTCTACGAATTTTAATAATTTAAAGTCTGAAACAGCCGGAAGTCGAATAACTGGAATCAGAGCCGGAAGTCGAATAACTGGAACACATCGAAAACGCAGTGCACTTCCGGCGCTAAAGCTAACCACCACTGTGCACTTCCGGTAAAGTGTGCAGAATCGGGCAAAGAAAAATGGCAAAACATTACGTCACTTTCCTTTTTTTTCTCCACTCGCTATTAGTGGGGAATTGAGGTATTGCCCCGCAGTTTGGCCTAAGGAGGCATCCTTGGAGACCCCGCGAATATAAAGTACTTACAGTTAGAATATATGGCCCGTATTGTCCGTATACCGTAACTCTCGATTTGACGGGTAATGATGACGTAGCATGAGCTATTTCAGTAGCATGTTGAAGTTTCCAGGTTATCAGCGGCGAATTACTTCAGACTAGTAGACTATAGAACTGAAAGAGGTCTACAAACTGTGATGGCAGTAAAGCAAAGCATAAGTAAATCAATTGTCATGAACTTTATTACACTGTACAAGTATTTTGTTCTGTTCAGCATGCAGGGTAACTTGCATATGAAGAACAACACCCACCACCATGATCATGTTTAATACATGTATAACCTCGATATTACACTGTCTGTACAGTGATCTGTACAGAAATTCGAAAGCTCAAAAGGAAACTCAAAGTTTCTACTTTGATAAATATGAAAATATAATCAAAATAAATGTCATTTACTTCAAAATTTCTTATTATTCTGACTCATGATGATGATGAATATATATGAATGAAATCATATGTCAGTGAACTGCGGAAATGAAATGAAATGAATAAATGATCATCGCAGTTATGAATGTAATTTAAGCAATTGCAATTTAAGCCCGAAAAAAATTCAGGCTTCAACGGGATTTGAACCCATGACCTATTCTGACTCAATTCCATGTTGAAGATATCTAACATTGACAATCGTTAGTGGATGACAATACGTACACGCGGGGAGGTTAACCACTCTCCACGTGACATAAAGTAGCCAATCAGAGCGACGTATCTGGACGACACGAGCCATCTTCTCTGTGGTTTCGTGTAACGTGACATGGAGTGTCTTATTCAGTGCTCCTTTGCACTCGCCTGGAGGTTCGCTTGAAATTAAGTGTCTTTCGGTGCGACAGCCACGAAGTATGGGATGTAAGCCAGCACTTCCACGCCACTGATGGTATCATCTTTAGACTGAACACAAAAAGGAAAAGAAATCACATCACCTGATTGGTCAGTTCGAGTAACGTGATGTCGGAGCGGATCGGAGCCTCGATCAGAAGGAAATAAAAATAACTTTCACAGCATGGCGCGAAACAGGCTCCTGCGCGAAACTATTCATAGATTTCAAAAAATTATCATGGCACACAGGGAATCTTTCTCTTATATCATCCTCTCTTGGTCGAGGTTGACCGCATTTTAGAAGAGGTTGGTAAGTAACTTGCTAAAGGAGCTACGTCACGGTTGGCGCATCTTGAAAAAATGTCGCCATTCGCAATCCGTCTTAATCTTCTCCATCCTCATCCATCGTTGTTCCTGTTTGGTTTATTATCACCTCTTTGGTGTTTTTCTACCTTAGTAAACTATTATTTTGAGGCTTTCTTCAGTTTGAAGGTGATTTTTCACTTCGCAAAAATGACTTAAAATATCGTGACATAGCTCCTTTAAGTAAAGATGCTGTGTTTAGTTCTAGTTGCTACATGTAACTTACCTTACTCAAATTACCAATAATTTTCTGTATAATGAAAGAGTTCGGGTGAACGTTGATGATAGAGGCGAGCATGCTCTAGTAAAAACAAAACGAGACATACATGTAAGACGATCAATAGAGATTTAACCTAAAGAGAAACAATTTACAATGTGTGCGGTCACAAGGAATTCACCTCAAATGAGTGCATGTCTATGATTCCACTCTGGCTTTTGTCTACTTTCCTAAACGATTCCTGGAAAACAAGGAAAGAAACATTTTAGGTTGTAAAGGGTTTAAAGGAGCTACGTCACGGATGGCGCATCTTGAAAAAAAAAATGGCCAATTTTTTCACGTTTGTCGTTCGTAATCCGTCTTAATCTTCTCCATCCTCGTCCATCCTTGTTCCTGTTTGGTTTATTATTACCAATTTGGTGTTTTTCTACCTTTGTAAACTATTATTTTGATGTTTTCGTCAATTTGAAGGTGATTTTGGACTGACATAGCTCCTTTAATGTTTATCAGGTGCAATGCATAACGCTTACAGCTTGCTGTTTATTCTTGCGCTTTCTGGTAACGACACTATTGAACTAGACTTCTTGTAGCCTGCGTGCCGGCCTATTTTAATTTAGGAGCTATGTCACGATATTTTAAGTCATTTTTCTCACAAACAAAATTACTTTCGAATTGACGGAAACCTCAAAATAATAGTTTACTAAGGTAGAAAAATGCCAAAGACTAGAGGTGATAATAAACCAAACAGGAACAAGGATAGTTGAGGATGGAGAAGATTGAGATGGATTGCGAACGGCGAAATTGAAAAAAAGCGTTTACCCTCGCGAGCGTGCGGTATGGACGAGAAGGGATTGGGCACCTTCGTCTCGCCCCAATCCCTTCTCGTCCCAAATCCTCGCCCCATGCTCCTTTGTGATTCCAGAGAGAGACAGACTGCCGCCTGGACTGCAAGCAGTTTATAAATGATCAGGCCTCTAAATCTCATGACCTGTCAACTTTAATCGGTTACAAAAACTAAAGGAGAAGTTAGGAATTGGTTACTGCTTAGGTCAACAGAGGATCATGTACTCGTCCTTGTAGCTTCAGTGGAAAGAGACTTGCTAGAGCTTATGATCTGCCAAGGTAAAACTTCAAGAGCTCAATCAGCGCTTGACACACAATTGCAAGTTACCCACCTCTCACGTTGCAATTTGTATGGTGCCTTTTGTAAGTAATATATAAAAATAAATATATTTACCATAAAAGTACTGAGCCAAAAATCCATCGACGAAGAATCCAAGTTATTAAATGTATTTGAAACCATCGGGCTGAGGAGTAAAAAGAAATCAAGGATATACACATTAATAAGAAACATTTGAAGGCATGAATCATCTCATTGTAACATCGTGATTTGTACTCTCAAACAAGTATGGCTCTCCGTAAAAGTAAGAAGAATACTCACGTTTGGGGCCCACGCGTGAAAGAACGCAAGAACGAGCCGGTGAGCGAAGAGACTGGGTGGGGCAGAAGTGAGAAAAGCGTCACTTTCTCGTCGGCTCGTTCTCGCGGCTCACAAGTGGGCCCCAAACGTGAGCTAGAATCAATTTGAATAATAAACTTTAGAACAAATTAGAATTGAACCAACCAATCAGAACTGAAAACAAAAATTGAATTGAACCATATACAATCTACTTGTTATGTAAACAATTATACTTAAAAAGCCGGTCTTCAGTAAACTTGTTTTCACCTTGACTTTGCCAGAAGATCACACATCTGATGAGTCGCAGTGAACTCTTCAAGACCGAAGTATGTGCTTTCACAAGCCATGTCGTAAATCTGAAAGAATTAGAGAAGGAGAAACAACCTTGAAAACAACAAATACACTGTGTAGAAAGAAATGATGGTGAATTTTAAGCTTGGTAGAAATCATGAGAAAGATGTTCTATCAGTCAGTGACACAAGCTACTCAGAAAAAAAATCTAACCTATGACCTTCCGCACACCAGTCGGACGCTCTGCCACTGAGCTACAGGACACACTTCAGCTGACACTTCAACTAAAAACACCAAGATAGCTACGATATGCGGGTAAAAAATGGTTATTTGTTAATCGGATGAATTACCTTTTTGAGATAATTTATTTGATGCCTTGTTAAATGTGGTGGGAGACTTTTCTTTAGTTCATTGAAAGATATGTGTCTGCAAAGAAAAATCAAAAGAAACAAAGGCAAACATTTAAAACATTTATCACCAAATGACAAAACAAGAAACATCATTCTTTAAAAATCATTCATCATTCTTTTATCAAATTTGAGCTCACAGTTTTCCTCGCGCTGTGTTCTAGGTAGGCTCGATTACCAGCCGCAGGAACGAAGACCGGACTCGAAAGAGCGGCGGAAATCGAGCCTACGCTCTCAGAAAACCGTTCCCTTCTTGGAACATAAAACTGTATAAAACTAAAATTGGTTCAGCCATAGAGATTGATAAAGCCTGAAATTTGAAATACGTGTTCAGGGCGCTTTAATAAAACCGGAATAAAAGAAAAAAACAAAACAGGTTTTAACTGCATTTTACATCATAGCCTTCAAACAGTGAAGTGTGGATGAATGAGCACGAAAAGTAAAAACTACAATCAGTGAATGCATGAGTACTTACCCATCACAATCAGTGTCTAACTTTCTAAAAACTTGAGATAAGGAAGAAAGATCAGCCTGTTGTTCAGAAGAAACCTAAGATTACCAAGAAAGAAAGAAAAAAAAAACAGCTTACTAAATTATACACACTATGGCTTGATGCATTTCAAACAACAAAGGAAAAACTTCTGAACTAAATAATTTATTTTATCCTATGCACACTAAAGCGGAGTGTAGTTTATACATTTCTGGGCTCATTAGATGATGTGTTAAGATCAATTTTATTTTAAATTCCAACCTTCAAAAGTCTGGGCGTGGCTGACCGTTGTGCATCACTTGCCGCTAAGGACGTCACTGATATAACATCTAAACGATTAGGCTGCTGCTCTCTGCAACACACAAAAAAGAAGAGGTAAAGATCATAGAAAAAAGTGAACACATTTTTTACAGGTCAGCAGACGTATCAGGCTTGACCCTTCATAAGTGTGATGACCCACACATCATAACACTGATGAAGGAAAGAATAAAGAGCACTTGGAAAACTATTCTTTGCACTGCTTCCCATTAACCAAACACCAACCGCCGCCTGGTTAGCTCAGTTGGTTGGGCGCCAGACTGCAGAGCGGGAGGTCGCAGGTTCAAATCCCGGCCGGAACAACAACCAGGGTCTTAAAATAACTGGTAAGATCATGCTGGCTGTGCTCAACACCTTGTCTCAGTTCAGATGATCGTGTCATTGGGCGGTGACGTTAAGCCGTTGGCCTTGTCTCCTACATCTCTTCGTACCAAATCAGTAGGGGACGTTAAAGAACCCACACCACTTTTCAAAAAGAGTAGGGGACGTAGTCCACGGTGTTGTGGTCTGGTGTTGTGGTCTGGCCTGTTCACATGTATTCATGGGTTGGGTGGGTGGGGTGAGATCATGAATGGACTGATAGCGGCTGCCACATGTGCCTTTACATGCTGACGTCCGATCTCACCCCTGAGTTGAATTGTAAAGTGCATTTGAATATATCCATATAGAAAATGCGCTATATAACAAGTACCATTACCACTCTCCCAAGTCATTTGATATTCTTCGCGCCACTCCCCATTAGCCAAATGCCTCGAACAGGCCTCTAACCTTAGTAGTATAGAACATGGGGGTACCAGCGCATTGATACATCAGAGGTTTCCATTAGATTTTTCCATTAGATTTTTGAAATCTATATGTAATTTAAAACAAATGGTGTGTTTATTTCATTGCGTGATTTCCTTTGCGTGACATTCTCTGATGGTTGATTTGGTTTATTCCTTTATAATGATTACATTCTAAAGGATCCAAGGAAATAGAATTATATCTTCTCTACATAATAGATACCAATATATTAAGAAAGTAAAGAGATTAAAATTTAATTGATTCTATGATGTCCGTATGCATAACTATTGATTCCATCATCTAATATATATCTTTTGTCATCAAAACAACTGAGTGATACTTTATTTATTTCATAGCTTGCAAGTTGATGGTTTTGACTTCTTATAGTTTTCATTTCGTGATGCATTTGCTTGTTATTAAATGGTGTGTTTTTATAGTCTGTATGTTTAATATTCTTTTTAATAATGTTCTTTTTAATCCCCTTAGCTGTTTTTCCACCTTTGTTATTATCTTTTATATAACTATACATTTTTGATCGCAATCCAATGAATTCAACTATAGGTATACCAGCAGCCTCATCTTTGAATTTACCGATTACTTTCTTATTTGTTTTATCATAGAATTATGAGTTCTCTGGATAGTCACTATTATCAAATTTATCTTTATCATTCCAAAAGTCCATGTAAACATCTTCAGCTTCAATTTCATATGTTAAACTGTCTGTATCTGTGAATAGTAGTCTTGCTTTATCTCCATACTTCTTATTAACAAAATTATAATGAAAATCATACATTAGTGTCTTACTGAGATCGAGGATGCACATACCTACATATGCCGGCCTGTTTAAGGTTAGTGTTTCTTTGATCTTATGCACTGCTACCAGATTCTCATTGAAAATTTTACTACTTACATAAGTTGGTTTAGCAGTTATTTTTAATAATTTCTTTTCATTAGTTACAAGTCTTACATCAACTCTTTTACGGATATTTTCCATCGTTTTACCGAAAACAGAGTTATTCATGAGCTTGAAGAAATCCTTTTCAAATGTGTTTTTTGCATTCGTTCTTTTCTGAGTGTTGAAATCGATATACTGTTTCAGCCATGGTGACTGGTCGAACTCAAGCACTCTATGAACTTTTATGACTTTCAAACCAAGATCAGTGTATAATTGAAGGTTTCTATAGTGAAGTACATATTTTTCTTTATTACTTAATGTTGGAATCAATTTTTTAACTAAACCTGTTGACATATTATACTTTTTTTGGATCTTTTTACAATATTTTGACAGCATATTTTTGGTTACATTAACCTTCTCTGGTCCTAGAGGGTAGTCATTATGACTATTATGTAATTTTTGAGGGTACTCTAAGTCAACTTCTAAAATTAATCCCTTTTTTGAGTCTTTTTTATATTTAGCTAAGTCAATGTTATTGATTTCTTTTTCACTCATCCATCTGAAACCTCCTGTTGGTAGGTATTGTGACATAGCCCAACCATAAAGGTTGTTAGCATCAAGATACATGATATATTTTGAGGGCGCCTTCTCATTATATTTTTTCATGTATTTGTTGTTTGCTTTTCCGTACCGATTGGTGATATAACTTATACCACCTCTCATTCCCTTTTCAATGAATTGAAACATGTCAATATCAACCATTAGCTCCAGTTTAATATTAGTCATTTTTAGCATAGCATCCCATGACAAACCTGGACTGGTAAAATAATGACATGGATCTAACTTATAGTATTGCATACATGTCTTTCGAAAGTTTTCGAAAACATCAGCTAATAGAAGAACATCACTTTTAAGGTATAAGTCGTGATATTCACCCATCGATTTTAATTTAAAAGTATTCCACACATCTTGAGCATGTTCATAATTTTCATCTGTGATATTCTCATTATTAAGGATACTGTAAAAGTCTTCTTTTGCTGGTAGTTCTTTTTTATTAAATTTTTCAAAGCTATCCATGAAATCGTAAGGATATACTCCTTTTTTTATCATCAATGTAAGTCTTTTGTCTTGGAATTCTTTTGATGTATATTTGAAGGCTTCTGCTGGAAGGTTGTTTGCTAGACTACTAAGTGATTGACTCATGAATTGGAAACTGTCAATAAATGTTAGATGATTACCTAACATGAAAGCCATATACTTCTCCATATTATTTGGTATTGCATTTATATTCATCTGTTTTTCTTCTCCTTTCTTATTTTTGTATGTATGATTTTTTACTATTTGACCAATCTGTTGCATTATAAAATGGCTGTCATAACCTCTCAGATTGTGAAATATAACAGGAATTTTAATATCTTCAGGTTTAATTTTGAGTTTTAAATTGCATTCTTGATGAGCTGATCCCCTGTATTTTCCAGTAATATGACAATGGTCTCTGACTCGTATGTCTTTATCCGTGTATTTTTTATCACAAATATGACATTTATCAGTTTGTTTGAAGCACAGTTCATCTTCATTAGTCATTTTTAATGGCTTGTTGAAGTTATTTCTCATAACCTTCTTACAGTAGTTCACTTCATATAGCATTTTTTCCATGAATTTATAAACAGCATTCTCACCTCTAAATACCTGTGTGGGTTTTGTATATTTATCATCATAACAACAAACAACTTTATAACCGTAACCACAGTCTTCATGAGTCTGATAAGCTTCAGTGTATGATTTATCATTATTTTGTCTACAACCTTGTACTTTTTTGTGATAGCTTCGAAATCAGCATAAATAACAAATGGTACAGCTAACTGTTTGTGGTGATTTTTAAATACAATCGTTTCACCTTTTTCAGGCATTTTAATAGCTTGTTTACCATTGATGACTATACAATCGGTTTTGTGTTTGTTTAGAATTTTTTCTGAACTGAAACACTGGAGACAATACATGCAGAAATGTTTTTTCTCTTTATGATTCGTTTGATTGTACATGAATTTATTGAAGTCTTTAATCAAAATATAATGCTTATTTTCACCCTCTGTTATCAATAGTAGGTTCATTTGATTTTCAAACTTTTCATTTGATATATAGATAGGATATGGTTGTTTATCTTCATACCCAAATACATTAATGTTAATCTCATTTTGCTTTTCTATTTTATTATATTGTTTTTGTGATACTGGAAATTCAATTTTTGAATAATCCAAGTTTGTAATATATAGTTTGTCAGATTTTTTAATTCTTTGAGGATCTTTATCTTGTGGGTTTAGATGCCTTATGTGGCACCATCTGAAGCATTCATTATCTTTATTCTTGATAT